TTGAATCGAAATTAAATCTAGTTAACAAAAACTTAAGATATCTACAAGTAAGCCGCTCTGTCAGGCTTGTGGTGAGGGTGGCGAGAAGACAATCGAGCACCTTCGATATTTACACTTAGGGGGATAGTGGAAGTTGGGGGAAGGATGCTCTCAAAAATCGAGTTCAGCCATAACTGTACAAACCAAATAGGGCCAGAGAAATTTCCCGATGCTTTAGGAGTACTTAAAATGTCGACAGCTTCGTCGAAAGCAGTATACACGTGGGCCAACAAAATTTTAGCCAAACATATCCTAGGCCGGCCAGTATGGAGGAGGTAGGCGAGGTTATAGAGGTGGGAGGAAATTTGGATGGATCGGGGGCAGAAAACATGGGTACATAGTCAATACACCAAAAAGGCTATATGTTCTTCGTCAGTCACAGTTATCGATTCGTCATCGACGAAATGCTTCTCAAGGAAATGACCATAGGCCTTCGATTCCCAATCGATGTTTGACCTCAAAGAATTATCCGAAGGGTAAGCACCCTTATAATACTTTTCCCCAGTGGGTTTTAGTCCGGTTATAGCAGCAACCTCAAAGAGAGTAGGTGAAAGGGGACCACAGGGTAACTCCAAAGCATGTAATTCCTTATTCCACAAATGCACCGCAGACAAAAACATTGCCATATCCAAAAACGACAAGTCGCATCGAGATAGGTGTAAAAAATCAAAAATCCCTACATCTCTCCAGTGGTTCCCAAACTTGGCTTCTACTCTATCAAACCACTTAATAAAAGAAGGTTTTTTGGAAGGAGGACTTGTTCGGTATACTCTCGAGACCATAGTCAAAAAATCAATCCGAACTTCAGGGTGGTGAATAAGTGCTGGGCTATTCGAGAGGGTGAAGGAAGAAAAAGTCCCACTACTAGAACGAATAGGACCCCCAAAACCAAAATTAACACCATCAGCAGTATAAGGAATGAGTACCTGCGTCTCAACGACTTTCTGAGAAGCTTCCTCCATAAGAGGGACTGGAGCAAACTTCTGGTTATTGATCTCCAGAAGGTTAGCCGTCAACGAAGGAAGAGGTGGAGCCGAAAAATCAGAAGACTTGGACAAAGTTGTCATTTCAATAAGCTAAAGAAAGCAGCAGGATAGAGGTTAAAAGGTGGAGTAGCAAGGACGAAGGCAAGAGCTCAAGGAGGAAGACGATGTTGCAAAGAGGTAAAAATTCGCGTAAAAAACCAGAGTAAAAAACTAATAGAGTTTAAGGGGAAAAGGGTGCTGGAAACGACGGAAGCAAGGGCAATTAATGTGGCTTGTACTGCAAGGCAGTAGACTGACGAGACGGAGACATAAAGCAAAAAGAAACCCTAAAACCCCAGAAACCCTAAAACCCCAGATACCCTAAAACCTAAGTTATTGTGGGCCTCCAACACGCGAAGACGGAAATCATGTTGAAAGAATATAAACAGAAACTACTTATATTCTTCCAAGGGGGCATTTTGTTAGTAGGAAATCGGTAAAGGGATCGAGAAACAAATGGGAGCAAATCGAGAACCCTTTTTGATTGAGTTAAAGACTGATAAATCGAAAGATAGCTGGAAAATGTGTTCGACGACCACGAGACAATATAAGCGAGAATTTGAATCAAGAATCGAAGGATGAATGTTTAATACCCGTTAGTGAATGAAATCGAGAAATCAGAATTATGTAATGTTAAGATTAAGAGAAATCAAAGGCAAGTCAAATGTTCTCGAAATTCCGAAATTAACATCGGAGAAAGGTTAACCCATGTATCGAAATCCCGGCTAAGTTATAAAGAAAGAAACAATTAACGTGTACAATCAAACATGGCAAGCAATGGCAAAGGTCCAAGGTCAAAGAAGCAGTTACTCATGTATGGGAACGTGAAAGCAGTTTTTAAACCATGGCGGAGGTCGAAGATCATGGGAACGTGGGTGCAGTTTTGACACCGAAGAAGAAACTGCAATAGGCACGTAGGACGTGGTAGCAGTTTTCATTAACTGCTCCTAAGAGGTTACTTGCTTATAGGATGCTCTATAAATAGGGCGAAGAATGAAAGGAAAAGGGAGCAGAAAATTGGCAGAGAACAGAATCATTAGTGAGAAGTCTACCGGAGAAACGACGAACATCATGAAGCTTCTGGCAATCTGGATTTCCATGCTCATTGAGTACCTTTACCGTTTTCTGTATTTTCCCTGGTAATTTACTTTGATGCAATTTATCTTTAGCAATTTTATGTTTCTGTACTTTCGATTTTTGGTCATTTCAATTCAATGAAAGTTAAGTTTCCGCGTTTAAGTTTTCTTGTCATTTAACATTAATGCAATTTCGATTTCCAAGTTATTTATACTTTCTGCACATTTGATTTATTGTCATTTATACTTCCTGTTATTTACATTTCTGCTGTTTCGATTCCCTGTCTTTTATATTTAAAGCAAATTTAAGATTTCTGCATGTTACGTTTCTTTGCAATCTAATGTTTCAACACTGTTTTTCGATTCCACGAATTTTTCTGCTTTCTTTACTTCGAGCACTTTAAATATAAAACACCAAAAATAGTATCTTTGAAATCGGGCAAAATTCGATCCTCATACGCACCTCGATTGAAAATTAATTTGCTAGCCTAAGTAAAAAATTTTGACCTCAAAACTACAAATAAAGCTTTCAACGTCGGTTTTAAATTATCAAGCGACGTTGAAAGTATGATTTTTTAAATTAATAATTTTTATTTATTTACAAAGTCTCCCGTCTCTTTATATTATATTTTTTAGAAGTTTATTAATTTATTAAGAGAATTGTCATTAGCAGGATTCGAACACAGTACTTTAGAGTTGGAGGCCGATACTCCAACCACTAAACTACTAGAATTTTCTCGATAATAACTTACAAATAAATTATATTTATATACAAATAAATATATATCCGTGTAAATATATAAATACAAATATATTTATATATTTTGATATATTTATATATTTTGATATATTTATATAGTTATATATTTATATATGTTGGATGTGAGGGCACACTCGAAAGTAAAAGTGTGTGTCGAGTGGGTTTTCAAAATTTGATGCTAAATTTGTGAGCAGGTATCTTTATATGAGTTTGTAATTTAATGACAAAATATAATCTTTATAATTTTATTTATATAATGATATAAATAAATTTGGAAAACGCGTTATTTGCTCTCAAGCAAAAAAGACCAATTTTCGCTCAAGCGAGACTTGAGTGAGTGAATTTCCGTGAGCTTTAACATATTTTTACTCAAGCAAGAGTCAATCACACTTTCACCCTCGATCGAAAAATACCAATATAATTTATTTGTAAGTTATTATCAAAAAATTATAGTAGTTTAGTGGTTGGGATATTAACTTTCAACCCTAAAATACTCGGGTTCAAATGCTATCAGTGACAATTCATTAACTTAAGAGAATTTTTGGTTGAAAAAAAATAAAAATACTTTCCAGAAATTATATACAAATAAATATATATTTACATGGATATATATTTATTTGTATATAAATATAATTTATTTTTAAGTTATTATTAGAAAATTCTAATAGTTTAGTGGTTGGAGTATCAACCTCTAACTCTAAAGTATCGAGTTTGAATCCTGTCAGTGACAATTTTCAAATTTAAGTGAGTTTTTGGGTGAAAAAAAAAGAAAAGACTTTCCACGTCGGCTATGAACCGACGTGAAAAGTGTCAATAAGTAAAAAAAAATAAAAAAAAAGACTTTCAACGTCGGTTCATATGGGAACCGACGTAGAAAGTACTTTCTACGTCGGTTGACTAAGAACCGACATAGAATGTGTTTAATATTCAACTTTCAATGTCAGTTTATCTGGGAACCGACGTGGAAAGTACTTTCTACGTCGTCTCAGCTATAACCGACGTTAAATGACGACGTAGAAAGTATATTTTGTAGTAGTGCCTCCACCTAAAAAAATATCTTCATTAGACAATTCTATTTATTAATATTATATTCATTAGACAATTTTATTTATTAATATTGTGTTTATAAAATATTGAATTAAAATAAAATTAATTAGAAAATATTATTTTATTAATAAATC